TTGCCGGCCACCAGTTTCTTTTGCAGATACTTTGTGACAGTTGTGCCAGCTGTTTGCACAGATACATGCATTTGCCCCCACATGTAGGCCTGAATATCCTTGAGGAGAATTCATGTTTTCTATATATAGGAGACCCCCTCTCATGTTTTAAGGTTAGAAAATTTTGAGATCAAAATTTGTCCTCTCTCTCTGCAATTCTCTCTCTCTCTCGCTCTAGCAAATTCCTACACTTTTGCTTACAAATCCTTAACCTTTACCTATACACCCTTAACCAAACCTTCTGATCTTGGAGCTGAGGCACTTTTGGGCTTGGTTTGAGCTCTTGAAGGGTGTGTTGTCTTGGTTTTGTTGCTTGAATTGCTTCTTCTCTTCAAGAGGTATAAGGCTTTGTCTATTTGCTTGCTTTCTCTACTATTATTTTTTCTATTTTCCAACTATTTTGGGCTATAAAAACTTTGTGTTTTTGGGCTGAAGCTTGGGTTTTAAGGCCATTAAAGGTTGAGGAGTGTTCTACCCTTCTTGGTACCTTGTTTTGGAGGCCTTTCCCCTTGTGTTTCCCACATTTCTACTATCTTTTTCTGGACTTTTAAACACTGATTTTCAGAGCTTTTTCAGTAGTCAAAATCATGTTTTGATATCCAAATTTGAAGGGGTTAGCCTCCCCTCCTTGTGTCTTACTTACTAACTTAGATTGCGCCATGGTTTAGCATGTTAATCTATCTATTTTTAGCTCAATTCTAGCATGTTTTAGGACTGTATTAGATCTTTTTTAGCACTGTTTTGGGCTGTTAATTGTATTTGAGCTTTATTTTGTATGCTCGTAGTGTAATAATCCTCATAAGTTTGGTGTTCTAGGCCGTAGACAGCATCTCCTTTGAGTTGATAGCATTTATTCATGCTTTTCTTACTCATTTTTAGCACTAAGAATCTCTGCAACCTCTTTCATTTCTTGGCTTTTGTTTTGCTTTGAGAGTTGTTTTAAGCCTCTTGTTCTTTTAAGCATGAGATTGAGGTTGTCATGCTTAATGGTATAACCCCTTTTAGGGATTCATTATCAACGGCATGACATCTCTTTCATGTCTTAAGTTAACTCTTGGCTTGGTACTTTACTCCATTAGAGGACTTAAACTCACCCTTTGGACTCCATTGATTAAAGAATGGTCAGTAATTTAAAATGGAGTAAAATTGAGGCTAAAAATGCTGAAAGATAATAATTTGGTTATGTTCAATCGGACGTTAATTAAACACATGGAAGCTTGAACCATTTCATACTCATTAGTGATGAAATGATTCAAGGTTCCAAGGTCACGACTTCCCTTGATCATTCATGATACGGAGGTGGTTTTGAAAGTCTCATTTTGTTACATTTATTAAACTTGCACATTTGGTTCACAAGCCATCATGCAATGAAATTGCTTGAGTTGATGGTTTGTGGCTTAAGCTCACTACTCCTTTGATTTGCTTATGAAACGGAGGGGTGAGTTGTGCAAACAAACCCTTCAAATACCCTATGCATTACTCTGTTTGTTCTCTGTTGCAGCAAGGTGAACTGGGTAGCAGTGGCCGGCAAGCCACTTTCCATGGCCGGCCGGCTATCATTGGTGGCCAGCATGCCTCATCATTGGCCGGCCGGCCACTGATGCAAAATTCAGTAGTTTGTTTGTAAAGCAAAGCAGAGTTATTTTGCAAGTGGGCAACAGTGTATGTGTTTTATTGTGCAACAGAGGCTCTTTGGAAGCAAAACAGTGGCTTTTTGGGTGGAAACCGAGCATGTGCATGCGCATCCCTCGCGTACCGAGTTTAGATTGTTGTAATTAATTAGTAGTAGCTACTTAATTTTGTAAAGTGTTGTAATTAATTAATTAGTTAACTAGTTATTCAATTCCGTTGTTAATTAAATAGAATAGTTAGTTAGTTAATTTATTTGTTGTAATAATTAGTTAAGTAGTTTAGCTAATTTCGTTTTGTTTTGTAATAATTAGCTTAGCTTTAATTAGTTAGTTAATTAGCTAGTTAGTTAGTTCATTCGGACTCTCCTTCATGAGAGCGTAATGTTGTAATAACGTGCATGTCTTCCAACCCCACGTCTTTCTCCTTTTTATTTACTAGCTTATGATGGTTAGTTTAGGGACATCATGTTTTATTTAGCATTATTCATGCTTGCATCCACTTGTATTATATGCACCGAAGCTCAGTTCATCATTCTAATTGCATTGCCATTTAAATACTTTTTTGAATACGTGCTTAGACGTTAGACTCCAGTTTTGTCAAGCCAGCCTTTGTGCCTCACTGCGAGGTTCCGAGTTGCCATGCTATGGCTTTGGGGTGTTTTGTTTTTCCCCCGTCTGTCTCCATACTGTTGGGATTACTGTATAGACTGTCAGCTACTAACTGTACTGTTATCAAGGGATTAGGTCCCTGTACTGTGTGACTGTAAATTTTGTATAGACTGTACTGTTTGTATGTATGAATGCATGAAAAATCTTTTTGGCATACAGACTGTCACAGCTCAATGGACATTATTTATTTACTGTATTGGCTTCTGCCGGGCCCTGAACTCTGTTTTACTGTACTACTGTTAAGCAGGCCTTCGATAATCTCGGATTACTGGCCGGTTACGGTGCTAAACCCATAGGGCCGGGTTTGGGTCGTGACATTAGTTAACTAGTTATTCAATTCCATTGTTAATTAAATAGAATAGTTAGTTAGTTAATTTATTTGTTGTAATAATTAGTTAAGTAGTTTAGCTAATTTCATTTTGTTTTATAATAATTAGCTTTGCTTTAATTAGTTAGTTAATTAGCTAGTTAGTTAGTTCATTCGAACTCTCCTTCATGAGAGCGTAATGTTGTAATAACGTGTATGTCTTCTAACCCCACGTCTTTCTCCTTTTTATTTACTAGCTTATGATGGTTAGTTTAGGGACATCATGTTTTATTTAGCATTATTCATGCTTGCATCCACTTGTATTACATGCACCGAAGCTCAGTTCATCATTCTAATTGCATTGTCATTTAAATACTTTTTTGAATACGTGCTTAGACCGCATGCAATTTAATTGATTCGTATGTCATATTAGTAGTCGAGTCTAGTAATTGCATATCGCATGTGTTGCATTAGTCATATTGCATAAGTTAGGATCATGCACTTTCTAACTTTGTCATTGTTTTTGGTTTGGAGTACTAGGTGAGCCTTTACTTGCTGTTGATGTTGCCATGTCTAGCATGTTTGCCATGAGGCTAAGTAGTTAATTGATAAATTGCCTGAATGCCTATGGATGAAAGGCTAGTTGCTTGAATTAGAGTAATTTGAGTAATGTTCATATGCGATCACTTTTTCAAGTGATACATATTCGAAACAATTTTTGCAAACAAACATGAATCAAGTGTTCCAATTCTTGCAAAATTAGTCTATACTTGTGTGTGTGCGCATCACATAGTAATGATAGCCTAATAATCGGAATAAGAGCATATAATGTCCATAAGATTCATATTATGTTTAGTAGAGGTCGATCTTTGACCGAGCGAGCGGGGGTGCTCAAATTCATTTATGACCTTCCTCTCTCGTACTTAAGTTCCTGAGCCGAGACAATCTTGGTGATGACGTACACGTGGCATTTGGCACGAGTCATGGGTTTCTTAGATTTTTCAAAATATTTAGGTGGCAACTCTGTATCTAGCAAAGTAGTTTATTTTTGACAATTTGATTCAAAATCGATTCTTCAAAAGATTTGTCGAATTTAGACTCTTTGGTGATTATCTATTTCGCATTGCACTTGTGGAATCAGATTCAGAACCACGAGAGTCCGAACTGTAGTGCTTCTTTCGACTTTCGAAAGAGAGTGTGAAAAAGTCGAGCTACACTCTTTGATTTTGACTCTCAATGAAAGCACCTTCGTTTTTTTAGGTTTTTCTCTTTTCTCATCTACAGTCTCCTCATTTTGCACCTGACTCACCATTATTCATTACAAAAGCTATATTCATTGCATATTGAAGAATTTGGGTAAAATGATACCTTTGATACATATTGAAATGTTTATCACACCAGTTCACTAGCTTTTTGTACATTTTGAACAATTCAAAAAATTAGTTTCTATTCCATCTTATAACCAATTTGGAGATTTCTTCTTCCAAAAGTGGCCTGACTACTTGAACATAACTCAACACAATATTGCATTTACATCAACCAGTGTCTTGCATAATTTAAGAGAAATAATATCTTACAAGTTAAAACTCCCCAGAAAAGCTGGTACCTTCTCAGTTTTGATCCTTGATGGCCAGCCTAAAAATAGACAGCATACAATCACACATTATTATCCTTATTATTATTATTATATTTTTCCCAATAAAAAAACAAAAACTAAACTGGAGTACATAAGTCTCTGAGGGTATGAAACCCCCATATCATCATCATACAATTGATTAGCAATACAACTATGAAAAATATACAACCCATCAATTATCTAATATGGGTTAATTGTCACCAATTACGAATGGTTCACGAGGTATCTGCAGTCACACAGAAAATTACTAAGCTGATGCACACACAATATTACAAAGCTGATGAATTTCTAATAATCAACTATTTCATGAGATGTGCATCCTTTTCCACTTCTATGTTGCTCAATCCCAAATGAAAGTAGGTTTTAACCCGTCTCTTTGTGCTCACAATTCAGCTGCAATGCCAGAGATCAATCCAATGTTTTCTACATAACCCATCGACCCATCTGCCTAAGCTATCCCCAAAGATCCCTCCACTGCTTGCTATGCCAGGGCTTCCTTTAGTTGTAACAGAAAATGTGCTTACTTGGACAACAAACGTTTTACCAACAGCACACTACCACCACTACCACCACCACTGCCATTGCTGCGGCCACCACCACACTGCCACCACCACCACCACCACAATTACAACAACCACTGACACATTAGTTTCAAAATTGCAACCAAACACAGTAAAACATTTTCTATGGAAATAAACAAAGCGCAAGTAAAAACCAATTTAGAAGTACAAGAACAGAACAATTTAATGCTGCATTAGATTTCAGATATACAATTTCATAAACCGCAGAGCAGTTACAACATATGTTTCTAAGATGACTGATAGGTGACTCTGGATTATGCCTAGCGACCAAAAAAGAACTAAATATTGTACATTGGGGATAAAAATGATTCTGGAAATCATTACGAATGGTACTGTAGAATCCACAGGGAAAGATAGTTCCAAACAGCAGCACAAAAAGAAACACAGGATTCTTGTTTCTTGATGAAGAACGGTGATTAGAAACTTTGAATCCTTCCACAATAGAAATTGACTTCGAGAATAAGTGAAGCAAGAAATACACTGCCCTTCTTCATAGCTGTGTGAGTTGGCTTCTCCTCTGTGCAGAGGAATAGTAATGCGACTCAAGCTCCTTCAGGCTAGCAGCTGCCTCCTCTCCAATTCTAGCCAACATGTGATCTGTTTTCTCCGCCTGTTGGTTAAATTCATCTATTCTTTGGTCTACATGGTCGTTGAGGGATGCAAAACCAGAAAAGATTGCTGTCTGTTTCAACTCCGACACCAACTTAAGTAATGAGTCAGCTGCCTGAACCTGTTCATGCATTATCATCAGGAAAAAAATAAAAATAAAAATAAAATAAAAAAACAAAGTGAAAAAAACAGAATGACATTGAGAAACCAGAACTAGGATACAGAAAAACAGTTTTAACTGATTGATTCACAATTCAATTGATAACCAAATTCTACATAATCACACTGTTCTGTCAAGAGTACTACTTTGTGAATAGAACCCCAGATCTGAAGAACATGAGAAGCTAAGTTTATTTGGATGGAATGATTTGATGAGAAATGATAACAAATGATGACAAACAAAATTCTTTCTCATGTTTGGTTTACAAATTATGTAAGAAATTGTGAGCAAGGGTTAGACATAGAGAGAGAGAGAACTCTCTTATTATGCCACTTCCATTTCTCACCAAAAATGGTGAGATTTGGTGAGAAACCAATTGTTTGGTTGAATTTTTTTTTTTAATTTTTTTTAAATTTTTTATAATACCAAGATTATCCATCAAAATACAAAGAAAGAAAAAGAAATCTCGCTCATATTCCTATTTCACATGCTTTCCTTTCTTATTAATTCAAACGTTATAGTGAGAAAACACAATCATTTCTTTTGTTTTCTCACTTAGATGAGAGACCACAATCATTTCTTTCATTTTCTCACCCCACAAATGGTGATATTCCTCTAAATCAAATTTCAATGTAAAGAAGTTCTAAGTTGTCTAATCAAATAGAAAAAAGTTTAAGCAATGTAGAACTTCAGTTGTCTTATTGCAGATGTTTTACTTGAAATGTGCATCAAACTAGCAGTCAACATAAATAAATAAGTACACATGAATTCATGTGCATGCACGCGTACTTTTACCTATGATATGTACGAAGAAAAATAAATAACAAACTCTCTTACCATTCTAGCTGCACGCATTTCCATCATGAAAGTTTCTTGTGAATTTCTAACTGGTGGATCATTAACCTATAATACAAATAGTTCCGTGATTACATCTAAAATACATGAATTTACAAATTCCATTTCAGTTATTTTTAATGTGTACTATAAAATATGATAGATAACCTCAAGAACAAAAGAAACCACTTCTTGGAAGACAGACCTTTGCCGACCTCCTCTTTGCATTACCTCCTCAAATAGACGACATAGTAACAAATTTACTCTACTGAAGTTATCAAGCATCTGATTTACTGGCCAATGTTGCTAATAATACCTGTATGTTCATGCAATGTTCTCTTTGGCTTTGCCTTTTTTTTTTTTAACAAATCTCTTTGGCTTTGTTTGGATCATGGATTTGAGTAAACATTTGGAAAGGGAAAGAAAAAGGAAAAGAAAAATGCGAGGGAAATGGAGAAAAAATTCACATTTCCCTCGCATTTTCCTTTTCCTTTCCAAATTCCTATCCAAATCCATGATCCAAACATAATCTTTGTTGGACGTACAGAAAATCAGGCTGTATTTGTAGAAAGGCTCTTATAATTGTCAATAAGCACTGGATATCAAGTTGTCAGCCTAATTCAAAATGCCATTCCAATTTGACTTTATTAGACGTATAAAAAGTGTTGGGGGGAATCTTAGGAAAGCTACCCACCCTCTACAACACGACATTAACTTATAAACAAAACAACAAAATGGATTTAAAAGCTTTGGTATTGACAGGCAATATTAAGTCAGCTTGCATACTAAGTCAAAGATCAATATACTTCAGGCATCAGCAAGGAGGTCATGGGCATACATTCCAATAACTCATACAGAAGTAACAAATAATTTATAGGAATCAAAATAAATGGAAACCATGATTTTAAATTTTAGAAATCTTCTTCCCAACTTTAATTCCATTATAAGCTGTGGATGTCTTCCTGAATCTAACTTATAAAATTCTGATAATCATGGAAACAAGAAATGCCTATAAGAACTATGTGTAATATAAATTCCTAAATATAAATTAACATAAACAAGAATTTGGGGCTTAAATCTAAACTACAGAAATCAATATATTTGCTGACACCAAACTTTCCCAAAATATGTGAAAACTAGAATCGTAATTCCCATAATTACTTTAAGCCTTGAGACATTATTTGACTAACTACAAATCAACCAAAGCATTTACTGGCCTTACTCACACTTACTTCATATGGGATCACTGGTTCAGTGGTTACAAGTCAGCCTACTAACCTTGAGGTTCAGGGCTCAAACCCAAGGGCAACCACTTTATGCAAATCATGTCAAAAGTTCAGTCCGTACCAAACCTACACCTCCCACACCATCAAACAGGGACTAAATTGTGTGCAATTTTTTACTCACACCTACTTCATTCTTCGACATGTTATCATGTATGGATTAAAAAAAAAAGTTGCTTATATTATGCAAACTTTGACTTCAAATTGGATTTGGTTGGTCATCCAACTTAGTACTTCAGGAGGTCGTGAAATGAGTTTAAACATCAAACAAGTAGGTCACGTTACTACTATTAGTCTAGAAACCACAGGGCTTGGAAATTAGATAAAACCAAAGCTCAGACAATACCTACTCTCATACATGTAACCGACGGCATTAAAGAAATGCATCAAAGATGACCCCATTTGGTTTTGCACTAAAAATAACCCAGCAAGAAGGTTCACAAAGGTCACACAAACACACACATATATGTATATATAGAGAGAGTGAGAGAGAATACCCTGGCCACATTAACAAGGTAACTGAAATTATCAACAATATTTCCAATGTCATTATCAACTCTCTGCAACAATGTCTTCTGTTTTTGAGCTGCAGCTGCTGCTGCAGCGGAGGTTGGGCCGCCACCGCCACCACTTCCACTACCACCTCCAACCCCTCCTTTATTCATTGTAGATTTTCACTAGCTGTTTGTTGCACAAAAAAAACAGCAAGAATCAGAAATACTGAAATCAAATTTATAGGCTGATAACCAAGAACTAAAAATTTTACCTTTTTTACTCTGATCCAATTATCATATTAAAGTACATGAAATGACAATTGTAGTATGGTAAATGCTTGATAAAGTGAAACCCACATGTTACATAGTTTAGAACTAGCTAAATCATAATTACATAAAAGAATCTACAAATCAAAAACCCTAAATTTTTGTTGTTTGAAAAAAAAAAGCGAGTTTGGAGGACGAACCTGGTTCAATCTATTTGTCTGTGGCGCCGCTTCACTTCTAAGTGTCACCCGTTTTTCAAAACTGTGTCGTTTTAAATAATTTGAGAAAAACTCTATTAAAAAAAACTGTAGAGGATTCTAGGGCAAATATAATTTGTTTCCTTAAATTTAAATATGAGGAGATAGATTATATTTGCCCATGAATCCTCTACAGTTTTTTTTTTTTTTTAATTTATTTTTTTTAAAAGTTTTTCTAAATTTATTTAAAACGACATCGTTTTGAAAAATGGTGGCACTTAGGGCTATTTTGGGAAGATGATTTCAGCTTTTAATCAAGCTTTTTTAGCTTTTCAAAAAGTCATTTGGGAAGTTAGTAAAAGTTATTTTTTTACTTTTTTAGTTAATAATTTTAATGTTGTCACATCATCTTGCCATAATGTAAAATGACCAAAATACCCCCTTCCCATTTGCAATTTACAGAATTTAACCTCATATGAGTATCCATCTCTCTGTGTCTCTCTCGAAACTCAAAAGCTTTGGAGAGCATTCAATGGTGGAGACACAGACAGATTTGTGAATTTAATCAATGTGAAACTAATAAAGAAGAATATAAAATTTGATTTGCACCATCTACAAAAAAAGAAAAACTACAATAACCAACTCTATTTTTTCTATGGTTGGGGATTCAGTTCAGTGGCTATAAATACTCAATAGGCCATATTGACAGCTTTTTGGTATAATCCATAAATGCGACCATGTACACTGTGATTCAAGTTAATGACTCATTGTTTTTGTTGTTCACAAGCAGAGAGAGCTAATCTGAAAGGGGCTTCCATATGTTGCAAGATTAAGAGCACCCCTAATAAAGTTCCAGTAAATTTTTTTCATAGCAAAAAAGGCCAGCAAAAGTAGTAAAAAAAAAAAAAACAGAGCACACAGTGGGTGGAAAGATGGCAATCGGACAACTGTTTACCCTAAAAATTCCAACAAAAAAGGAGTAGTAGATGGCAGTCGGAAAGCCAAATAACACTTGTAATGTCATAAACGCAACTGAAAACTAACAGATCTATTTACAATTTAACAATTCCCAAACAATGGGTTGCAAATCACTGGTAGCAGAACACCGGCGGAGGGAAGAGGCTCACATGATTGTGTAGATCATCCGACGAAGATGACCTGGTAGAGGGAAGTCGGTGGCGACATCGATGGCCAACATTGGAAATGAGTTTTCTGCGGTGTCCACAGCAGCGGTGCACAGACAATCTGAGAGGGAGAGAAGAACAAGAAGCGTAAGATGCGAAATGGTGAAGTGTCTTGTCTCAGCAAACCCTAAGTGAAGGGAGGGTATATTCGTAAATTGCAATATGGCATTTATCCAGCTTCCCAAATGAGTTTTACACTGTGTTTGGATTGAGTGATTTGGAGAGAAAAGAAAAGAAATAGAGAGAAATGTATTTCTCTTCCATGTTTGGTTATCTTAAGTGGAGAGAAATGGGGAGAAATAGAGAGAAATGGAGAGAAACTCATTTCTCTCATAACCCTTATTTTCAATCTTCCCAAAAGTGGAGAGATTGGGAGAGAAAAGAAATCCACAAATGTTTATATTTTCATAATACCAATTTTACCCCTATAAAAATAAAAGAAATAAAATGATTGAAAATATAAAAAGGTTATTTTGGTAATATAACATAAAATATTTTCTTTTCTTTTCTCTTAATGAAATCTAACCAAACAAGAAGGAGAGAAATCAAAATCATTTCTTTTCTTTTATTTCTTACTTATCCAAACAAAAAGGGGAGAAATTATAATCATTTCTTTTCTTTTCTTTTCTCTTATTACTTAAGTAATCATTTATTTTCTTTTCTCTCCTAAGTTACCAAACATAGCGTTAGAACAAAAAGGCCACGTTTGGCTTTTTCATCAAACGCCCAAACGCAGTTACAAACCACGTCCCCAAAACAAGCCTTAGAAGTGAAGCAGTGGCACAGACGAAGCACAGAGAGAGAGAGAGAGAGAGAGAGAGAGAGACAGACAGACAGAGAAGAAGAAGAACAAGAAGCAGCAGCATCAAACGAAACAGGAGCAAAACGAACAGAGAGAGAGATAGAGGAAGAAATCGTTTGAGAAGAACGACGGTCCACTGGAGCTCTCTCACGCCATAGATTGAACCAGGTTTGTCCTCCAAACTCGCTTTTTCAAACAACAAAAATTTAGGGTTTTTGATTTGGGTTTTGATTTGTAGATTCTTTTATGTAATTATGATTCAGTCAGTTCTAAACTATGTAACATGTGGGTTTCACTTTGTCAAGCATTTATAACATGATTTGGAGATTCAAGCATTTATTTTATTTTCATTTACGCTATGTTTGGATTGAGTGATTTAGAGAAAAAAGAAAAGAAATGGAGGATATGAATTTCTCTTACTTGTTTAGATAACCTAAGTGGAGAGAAATGAAAAGGAATTGAGAGAAATGGAGAGAAACTCATTTATTTTATAAGCCTCATTTTCAATCTTCTCAAAAGTGGAGAGATTGCGAGAGAAAAGAAATCACTATTTTCATAATACCAATTTTGTCCCTATAAAAATAAAAGAAATAAAATGATTGAAAATATAAAAAGATTATTTTGGTAATATAACATAAAATAATTTTTTTTCTTTTCCCTTAATGAAATCTAACTAAACAAGAATGAGAGAAATCATAATCATTTCTTTTCTTTTATTTCTTCCTCATCCAAACAAAAATAAGAAAAATCACAATCATTTCTTTTCTTTTCTTTTCTCTTATTACTTAAGTAATCATTTCTTTTCTTTTCTCCCAAACACAGTGTTAGTTTCTGAGCAACCAAACGAATCACTAGGTCATTAACACAAATGCGTACCCGTTTGTTTTGGGAGATAGAATAGAGGGGATTGATAGTGAGGGGATTAATAGTGAGGGGATTATTAATGATGGAATTGATAGTGAGGGGATTAGTAGTGAGGGGATTGATAGTGAGGGGATTAGGAGTGAGGAATTGTTAAATTATTTTTATATAAAATAATAAAACAAATAAAAAAATATAAAAAATTAAAAATTATATTTTAAAAAAAATTTCCCATATATAAAAAATAAAAATAAATAAAAAAGTTTCTAATCCCCTCACTATTTTTCTAATACCATCTCTACCTCCTCCTTATCAATCCCCTCTCCAAGGGTATTAGTAATACCAAGGGACTAATAGTCCCAAGGCCTTCTCCCAAAACAAACAAGCCTATTACTAATACCTTGGTATTAGCAATCCCAATACCCTCTCTTTCACCCAAAACAAACGGGGCCATAGTGAGATCTCGACAAATTGAGAAACAGCAATTTACTGGATCAGGGAATCAAATGGAAATCAATCGTGAATGTATGTAAATACGTAGATAAATATGAAGAGAGAGAGAGAGAGAGAGAGAGAGAGGGTTTGAGGGTACCTCTTGTTTGCCCTTGCTGAGGGGTTTGTCGAGGATGTTGGTGTATTCGCTTGATCTTCCCCACTCCGATCATCCTCTCCTCCCCTCTTACTTTTTTTTCTCTCTCTCTCTCTCTCTCTCTCTCTCTCTAGAATTTCAGTGAGTAAACCAGTACACAATTTCCACAAGAAGCATAGAGCAGTTCGGAATGGGTGTTTGTTTTTTGAAAAATGCTTGGGAGCACTAATTAGGTGGCAGTGGGTTCCGTCATTAATGATGTGATGTTTTGGTCTTGGAGTTGTATTTTTTTTTTTTTTACTTTTTTAATGCATTAGTGCTATTAGTGATGATATTTTTAGTGGGATGAATCATTGTTGTTGTTTTTTTGGGTAAATTACACTTACGGTTTATATTTATTACAGTTTTTCTTGCCAATTAAAAATTACATCTCTCTTTGAGGTTTAGAGTTTCGTTATAGATTCCTTCTTTAACAATTTAATTTTTTTAAATACTAATTTTGCTCTCATTAGATAAATTATATTGACACTTCTCACATTTTAGAAATTACAATTTCCTCCCTAAGGTTTAAAGTAACACTACCATTTGCCTTCTCGGTTAATATTAATTGGAAAAAAATTATTTGAAAAAAAAATTAATTGAATTTTTTTTTTGTTAGTAAAGCTTTTAAATTTCTATTTAAAAACCAACGTAAACTCATTTTTTGAATTTATATTTTTTTCTCAAATTTACAAACTGAGACAACCATTTATAAATCAAAAAAATTATCAAACAAGTTTTTATGACAATTTTTTAAAATTTTTGTAAATATAAATTGAAAACTGAAAACGAAATGGTTATCAAAATTTTTAATTTTTAAAAAAAAATTTCTAAAAATCAAACCATACATAGCCTAAGAATCTTTTGATAAGTCATTTCTTACGTTGGTAACTTATTTAATTATTTGTTAATTTTACGACATTTTTACCATCAAGCTTGTTTGATAACCATTTCGTTTTCAGTTTTCAATTTATATTTACAAAACTTTAAAAAACTGTCATAAAAACTTGTTTGATAATTTTTTTTGGTTTATAAATGGTTGTCTCAATTTGTAAATTTGAGAAAAAAACGTAAATTCAAAAAATAAGCTTACGTTAGTTTTTAAACAGAAATTTAAAAATTTTACTAACAAAAAAAAATTTCAATTAATTTTTTTTTTCAATTAATTTTTTTTTCAATTAATTTTTTTTCCAACTAATACTAACTGAGGGGGCAATTGGTAATACTACTTTAAACCTTAGGAAGGGGATTGTAATTTCTAAAATGTGAGAGGTGTCAATGTAATTTACTCAATGAGGGCAAAATTGGTATTTAAAAAAATTAAATTGCTGAAGGAGGAATCTGTAATGAAACTTTAAACTTCAAGGAGACATAAAATTTCCAAAAAATAAGAGGAAACTGTAATAAACATAAATCTTAAGGGGTGTCAGTGTAACTTACCCTTGTTTTTTTTTTTTTTTTTCAGATCGCAGCTTCTTTCCAACTCGCGTGCAGACCAGGCAGCATACCTATTTTGCTAATTTGGGTTTATATTTTTTTATTTAATAGAATAAATTGTAAACATATTTTCAAGATTTATTAAAAATATAAATTTTTATAAATTACGTTTGAGAAATTACATCCCACCTTTTGAGATTTTTAATTATACTAGTAGAGGACTATGTGCATTGCATGTGGTAAATTTCACATATTATTCTATATTTTTATGTTAATGTTTAAATATTAAATTTTTAAAAATAGATCAAAACTAATCACATAAAATAATTATACTTCATTGGTAATTAAAAAGTAAAAAAATAAAACACACAACTAACATTGTAACATTATTATTATTATTAAAGGTGAAGAAATAAAATACCTGTATGAGAGGGTTCAAAAACGTCGTTGGAAAATTTGAAGACATTCGAAGATCCTTGAAGAAAAATTCGAATTCTCTAGAAGATAATGAGAGACTTGGGGTTCGTTTGGTTTGAATTTCTGAAAAAAATTTGGGAAATTTTCTCTACAAATAAGTTTTTAAAAGTAATCAAACCAAACAAATTTTCCCAAAAAAATTTCTCAAAACTTGTAAACCAAATAAGTTTTCCAAACAAATCTCTCTCTCACACACATCAAATCAAAATAATTTTCCAAAACTCTCTCTCAAAATAATTTTCCAAAACATCTTTTGAAAAAAACCAAACCAAACAACTTTTCGTACTTTTTATCTCTAAAACACATCTCTCAAACACAAACCAAACATACCCTTGGATTTTTCAATAGTCTCAACTAAGAACACAAAAGCAAAGAGCTGATGAAGATAAGAGGTTGGGTGAAGAAGAAGGCAAAATAGTTAGAGAGAGAATAATGGCAAGATTCTCCCATGGATCCCCCACTTTCACTTTCAATGTTGATAATGGAGAACGAAAATTAGTTCTTTCCCCAGAGTTATCTCTCCAAAATTCATCCCTTGTAAAGCTATAGGTGGGTGCTATTTATAGGCACCTCGTGATGTAGGATGGAGCCCATGTGCAAGACACATGGGGAATATTCTCTCTAACTACCTTGTCCGAGGAGATGACCTCTCCGAGGATGAGAAAAACCCTTGAAGAGGAGATCAACCTCTCGGCGAACCCTTCTTCTTAGCCACACCTAACCAATGATCTCCAATCATTCCAAAGGGTCAGGGGTAGTCCCAGAGGACGTCCTGCCGCATATGGGTCAGGGGTAGTTCAAGAGAACGTCCTGCCGCAAATACTGTTGAGTCTCAAGGACCCCTTAGATCGTGCCACCTCGACCCGGGTATAGGCTAGTTTAACCGAAGAGTGAATTTACCTCTACTCACCGTCCTCGGGATCGGGTCCTTTGTTCGGACTCCATTATGCCCATGGTTCTAGTACGTAGATCCCAGAAAGCTCCGAGTCCGCAAGTGTTCTGGGACTCATTAATGGAGCGGCTTCTAGATTGCGTCTAAATCTGTTCGAAGCCAAATGCTTCGGATCTCTAAATTCGTGGATCCGAACCCTTTCAAGTCCGAGCCCGAGTAAGTCTCTAAGTTCGTGGATCCAAACCCTTTCGAGGCCTAGAGCGATTTGGCCCGTTTGATGGCGATATATCTAGACCCACCAATCTTGGACTTGCGATAAATTCGGGCCCACCAACCTTGGACTATTGAGCCTAATTAATTTAGTGGGCTCAAATTAACTCCTCTTACAATACCGAACTAATATTGTAATATTAAAATTTTAAAAGTAGATCAAAACTAATCACATAAAATAATTATACTTCATTGGTAATTAAAAAGTGAAGAAATAAAACACACAACTAATATTGTAACATGATTATTATTATTAAAGGTGAAGAAATAAAATACCCAACTAATATTGTAATATTACTATTAAAGGTGAAAAAAATAAAACATCTAACAAATATTTTAATATTATTATTATTTTGAAATAAAATAAGTACATGAATTGAAAACTAAAATATTTTTATAAAATTCATTCATTCTCTAGTTTTGATCATGTTTATGGTTAAACTTTGGAAATTTGTCATATTGCTATTTTTCATCTCATATTGATTTTCGTCATTTTGTACTTCTTTTGTTACAATCTTTTCAGATGTGCGATTTTTGTCATTAATCTTCTCCAACCTGGTAAAAAATATGTATGTATGTTCAAAAGCAAGTTTTATTGCCTTATAAAATTTGATATTCTTACTTTCCTACAATAACAATAACAATGGTATAGTTTTAAATTAAATTATTTACTTTGTTGTGTATGTATGTTACTAATGTGACACTTTTATGCATTTGGTAAACTTATCTTTTCTTTAGATGCTATGAATACAGTTGTTGGACATTCAATAATTTTCTCAGCCACTTCAAATAATGTGACATACAATTGTCTTTCTCCACCTCCAACTGTAAGTTTTGTCAAATATTTGATATTTAGTTTACTCAATCTATTATGAAGTTTATTGTCTGTATGATAGAAGTTTATTGTCTGTATCATAGAAGTTCATTGTCTATATAACGGTTCTGGTTTAGACCCGACTCATTTCATACTCTTAGATCCGGTATTCCATACTTTTAATTATTGTTTATGCCCTTTGTCATTTTGTTGGTAGTTGAGTTGAGTTGTTGGTTGTGTTTGAAATAGATTGGGAGTTAGTTTTTTAATGAAGTTTATGTCCAGTTTTCTTCTTGTTTGCTCGAGCAGTGTTTTGGTTGCTCGAGCGGTCTTTGAGATCTCCCAGTAGTTTTGTAGGTTTACAAAACTTCTGAGAGTAGGGTGTTGTTCGTTTGAGCTGTATTTCTTGTGTTCAAGCGATCTCTGCAATCTGCAAAACTTTTGGGAGGGGATCATTGTGCGCTCAAGCGGTGTTTTTGTCGCTTGAGCGATCTCACTTATTGTGTCTGCGCTCAAGCGGTGGTTTGGTTGCTCGAATGGTTTGTGCGTATATCAGTTTGGGGAAAGGAGTTGTTAAATCACGTTTTCATTTATTCTCTCTCTCTTATTTGCTCAAGCAGTGTTTTGGTCGCTCGAGCGGTCTTTGAGATCTCCCAGTAGTTTTGTAGGTCTACAAAACTTCTGAGAGTAGGGTGTTGTTCGTTTGAGCTGTATTTCTTGTGCTCAAGCGATCTCTGCAGTCTGCAAAACTTTTGGGAGGGGATCATTGTGCGCTCAAGCGGTGTTTTTGTCGCTTGAGCGATCTCACTTATTGTGTCTGCGCTCAAGCGGTGGTTTGGTTGCTCGAATGGTTTGTGCGTATATCAGTTTGGGGAAAGGAGTTGTTAAATCACGTTTTCATTTATTCTCTCTCTCTTATTTGCTCAAGCAGTGTTTTGGTCGCTCGAGCGGTCTTTGAGATCTCCCAGTAGTTTTGTAGGTCTACAAAACTTCTGAGAGTAGGGTGTTGTTCGTTTGAGCTGTATTTCTTGTGCTCAAGCGATCTGGGTTGGTTTGGTAGTTTTGTGAAAGTTTGGGGCTTTTGTGTTATTTTACAAAAGTTGGGGTTTTATTTATAATAAACCTAGATGCATGTTTGGCATAGAGGAATGGAATAAATGTTGAATCATTGATGAAAATGGGACCTTAAGGGTTGTAATGTTAATTATGGAGAATGCCCTAATTACATTGTTTGAT